TACATGAATATAAGTTCAAAGTAAGACTACCATCAAATGTTTTTTTTTTTTTTAAAATTGTAATTATTTTGTTTCTTATGTATAAATATTAAATTATATGTATAATTTTGAAAAATTATCAAATAGTCACAAATGAATGAAATAAATAAACTAGATGGGTTATAAGAGTATTAATTAGTAGTAATTATTAAGTCTAATAATTAAAAGAATTGAATAATTGAATAATTGACAATATATATATATATATATATTGATTCTAGTTAAATTTAGTGACGAACATGGGTTGGGTTTAGGTGCATACCTTCTGTCATTTTAGATGTAGCTTCCTTGATGCCTCCAACAGCTGACAAAACTGCCATTAAAAAACAGACAAGTTTAGTTCCTACAATTTCATAGATATATATATATATATATATATATGCATGAGATTAATCATGCATATATAACATAACATATACACGGAACAACGACTATATTGTCTTGTTCCAACAACTAAAACAAATCACACATGTTTAATTTGACTGTTACATACTTAATTAAGTTCTTAATTTTGTTTTTAACTAATTAATATAATTATCGTTAAATATGTAATTTTTTTTATTAATTATTTTATATATGTATATTAAAAAATTATGTTATGATTAATATGAACGCACCTGAGATGGATGGCGTGAGAACACCATCACCGATGACCATAGAGGTGCCAAGCATGGTGGCGAACAAAAGAAAGAGCTTGGCAAAATGGCTATTCTCCAACTTTGATTTGAGTCTCGATGCTGTCTCTAGTCGTTTGCTTGGTAACTCTAATTGGTAATTCGATACATTCGAGTCTTCGGCTTCTTGGCTTGGGATTAAACCCACCTTGGCATATCGACATATCAACGAGTACAATGCAAATGTTCCTCCTATAAATCCATTATACATATATATATATATTATTATTAATTTTAAGCAATATATAATGAACAACTCTAATAATTATATATGAAATAGATTATGAGAATTGGGCACCCTTTTCGTCACCAAACGTGGGGGATTCAAAGAAATTGACAACGAAAACGAAATTAAATATAAAATTATTTAATATATATAAATTTGCGTACCACAATGATAATATTATATATTAATTATTGAATACATATAGGACAAACAAAAATAGTAAAAAAAAAAGTTTAAAAAGAACAAAAATTTAATTAAAAACTAAAAAGAAATAAGAAAAAAAAAATCATGAGGATTTTTTTTTTTTTTTCCAAAAAAGTATATTAGATTAACTATTAATTAATTAATTAGAAAGTACATATATGTCTCTTAATTTTAAGATATAATAAATTAATTCTGAAATTTTACATTTATTTTTTAATTTTTTTCTAAGGAAATAATTAAAATAATTAATAAAAAATCAAAATAAAAATAAAAATTTCTAATACGGTCAAACCAATAAGGTTAAAAGTATAATTTTTTGAATTAAAGTAGTTAAGAGTGTAATTAAAAAGAGTTGAGGTCTCTGATTAAAAAAAAAAAAAAAAAAAAGAAAAAGGGGAGTGAGGGTGGGATCTTGCCGTCGCCGTTATCGTTAGCACGCAAAACGATGAGCACGTATTTTATAAGAGGGATCAACGTGAGGGTGTATAAGATCAATGAGAGGACTCCGAGGATGTCGTCATCGTGTTTGATGCCGTCAGTAAACGTGCTTGCGTAGACGTAAAGCGGCGACGTTCCGATGTCTCCGTACACTATCCCGATGCTTTGGAAGGCCAGGTGCAATATCACCGACCACTCCACATTCTTTAAGCAAAAAAAAAAAAAACAAAATAATCAACATGAAAATCAAGAAAAATATATTTATTTAAATTAATTTCTTATTTTCTTAGATTAATTTTTTATATTACAGTTTCTATATCTATAATTTAGTTTATTTTGATTAATCCCCGTGATTTTCCGTCCTAATTTACTATTTATAATCTAAAGTTTTATCATAATTTTATATAGAACCATTAATTTAAATCGAATTAAAATTTAAGAAAAACCCACAAAAAAAAAATAATCTTATATAAATTAAGAAAAAAAAGTTAAATTGCGTTATAAAATTTGAATAAAAACGAAATTAAATTAGAGAGATTGTTACCTTGGAGCCATGGATTCGATGACCGGTGATCTTGGCGGCTTCGAGGTCTAACGAATCATGTCTTTGCAACTTTGGATATGAAACTTTTCTTCTTTGAAGTTGTTCGGGTATGACTATTTCGTCTTGGTTTTCACTCGTTTCGGGTTCTTGAGTAATAGAAGTGGGCATTTTTCTAATTTATGTCAAATTATAAGAAGATTATATGTAGATAATATACATATATAGAGAGAGAGAGAGAGAGGAAGGGAGGGAGAGAGAGAGAGAAGGAGATAATTAAGTAGCTCTAGTGATGGAGTGGGAAAATGAATATGGATACTAGCTCCATACTTATACACAAAGGAAGACGGCCTCTTTTTGAATATATATATATATATCAAATAAAATGTTGGTTTTAATAAATTATAATTCATGTATCTTTCATGGGTAAATTTTTAAAATA